GCATCAGCATCATCATCATCATCATCATCATCATCATCATCATCATCATCATCATCATCATCATCATCATCGTCATCATCATCGTCATCATCATCATCATCATCATCGTCATCAGCAGCCTCATCATGGGCATCATTATCATCATCATCATCATCAGCATCATCATCAGCATCAGCATCAGCGGCATCATCAGCATCATCAGAATCCGCCACATCATCATCAGCATCAGCACCAGCATCGGCATCACCATCATCATCATCATCATCATCATCATCATCATCAGCATCATCATCGACATCATAATCAGCATCCGAATCATCATTATCATCATAATCAGCATCAGAACCATCATCCTCGTCCGCAACAGCATCATCATAATCATCATCAGCGTCGTCATCCTCATCAGCAGCAGCATCATCGTCTCCATCATCAGCATCATCAACATCATCAGCATCAGCAGCATCAGCAACTGCATCATCGTTACCATCATCATCACCAGCATCGTCATCAGCATCATCATCATCATCATCGTCATCGGCATCATCATAATCATCCTCAGCAGCAGCATCATCATCCGCAGCAGCCGCAGCATCAGCATGGGCATCGTACTCGTCGTCATCATCCTCCTCATCATCATCATCATCATCATCATCATCATCACCATCATCAGCATCATCAGCATGATCAGCAGCATCCTGATCGGCATGAGCATAAACAGCAGCACCAGCAGCATCGTCATCATAATCAGCATCGTCATCATTAACAGCATCGTGATCAGCATCGGCATCCGCATCATCATCATCATCATCATCAGCAGCATCCTCATCGCCAGCATCATCATCAGCAACATCATCATCAGCAGCATCATCATCACCATCAGCATCATCGTCACCATCAGCAGCATCAGCATCATCAGCATCATCGTCACCATCAGCAGCATCAGCATCATCAGCATCATCATCACCAGCAGTACCATCATCATCGTCATCATCAGCATCGTCGTCCTCATCATCAGCAGCAGCACCATCATCATCGTCGTCGTCATCATCGTCATCAGCAGCAGCATCCGCTGCATCATAATCATCATCATCATCATCAGCACATCAGCATCATCATCATCATCATCATCATCATCATCATCATCATCATCATCATCATCGTCGTCAGCATCATCATCATCAGCATCAGCATCATCATCATCAGCATCAGCAGCAGCATCAGCATCATCATCATCATCATCATCATCATCATCATCATCATCATCATCAGCATCATCGTCGTCATCATCAGCATCCGCCTCATCGTCCTCATCCTCCTCCTCCTCCTCATCTTCCTCCTCCTCCTCCTCCTCCTCCTCCTCCTCCTGCTCCGCCTCCTCCTCCTCCTCCGCCTCCTCTTCCTCCTCCTCCTCATCATCCTCCTCCCCATCATTCGCCACCTCCTCCTCCTCTTCCTCCTTCGCCTCATCCTCATCCTCCTCCTCCACCTCATCCTCCTCCGCCGCATCATCATCATCATCATCATCAGCATCATCATCATCATCATCATCATCATCATCATCACCAGCATCATCATCATCATCATCATCATCATCATCATCATCATCATCATCATCATCATCCTCGTCATCATCATAATCATCATCAGCATCATCAGCATCATCAGCATCATCAGCATCATCATCATCACCATCATCAACATCATGAGCAGCATCAGCATTATCCTCATCGGCATCAGCATCAACAGCAGCATCAACAGCATCATCATGATCAGCAGTATCAGCATCGTCATCATTAACAGCATCGTGCTCAGCATCGGCATCCGCATCATCATCATCATCATCATCATCATCATCAGCATCATCATCAGCAGCATCATCCTCATCGCCAGCATCATCGTCATCATCAGCATCATCCGCATCATCATCGCCATCAGCACCATCATCGTTATCAGCACTATCATCAGCATCAGCAGCATCATCATCATCAGCATCATCATCAGCATCATCAGCCTCCGCCTCCTCATCGTCCGCATCCTCCTCCTCCTCCTCCTCTTCCTCCTCCTCCTCCTCCTCCTCCTCCCTCCCTCCTCCTATTCTTCCTCCTATTCCTCCTCCTCCTCCTCCTCCACCGCATTCTCGGCATACTCGTCCTCATCCCCATCCTACCCGTCTTCCCCATCCTCCTCCTCCTCCTCCTCGTCCTCCTCCTACTCCTCCTCCTCCTCATCCGCCTCCTCTTCCACCTCCTCCCCTTCCTCCTCATCGTCCGCATCCTCCTCATCCTCCTCCTCATCCTCTTCCTCCCTTCTCCTCTTCCTCCTCCTCCTCCTCATCATCATCAGAATCATCCTCCTCGTCCTCCACCCCCCTCCCCCTCCTCCTCCGCTTCCTTCTCCGCCTACTCCTCCTCCTCCTCCTCCTCCTCATCCTCCTCCTTCTCTTCCTCCTCTCACCCTGCCTCTGTCCTCTGCGTGTCCACTATTTCAGCGCACTTAGTACAACATTTCGTGGCCCCACATGGAGCGCGACCGAAGGGCCCAGCGGCTGTAATCACCTGCGCCCCCGCCACCCATGTCGGCACACCCCTCACACGCTTGGTGGCCCAATTGGGAACTCCACCGAAGGTCCCAGTGGCTGCAATCACATGCGTCCGCGCCACCCAGCACAGCGCTTCGGGGGCCCATAGGGGTGCTCCACCGAAGGCCCCAGTGGGTGTGACCACATGAGCTTGCGCCACCCAGCACAGCGTTCCGTGCCCCACATGCGCCCGCGGCACCCAGTACAGTGCTTCGTGGCCCCATAGGGAGCTCCACCGAAGTACAGCGCTTCGTGGCCTCATGAGGAGTTCCACCGAGGGCCCCAGTGGATCTGACGACATGCGCCCGCGTCACCCAGTACAACGCTTCGTGGCCCCAAAGGGGGCTCTACCGAAGGCCCCCGTGGCTGTGACCACATGCGCCCGCGCCACCCATTACAGCGCTCCGCAGCCCCCCCATAGGGGGCTCCACCGAAAGCCCCAGCGGCTGTGACCACATGCGCCCGCGCCACCCAGTACAGTGCTTCGTGGCCCCATAGGGAGCTCCACCGAAAGCCCCAGCGGATATGCCCACATGCGCCCGCGCCGCCCTGCACAGCGCTTCGTGGTCCCATTGAGAGCCCCACCGCAGACCCAAGTGGATTTGACCATCTGCGTCCGCGCCACCTTGTACAGCGCTTCATGGCCCAAAAGGGAGCTCCATCGAAAGCCTCAGTGGCTGTGCCCACCTGCGCCCGCGCCACCCAGTACAGCGTTTCGTGGCCCCATAAGCAGCTCCACCGAAAGCCCCAGTGACTGTGACCACATGCGCCCGCGCTGTCCAGTACAGAGCTTCGTGGCCCCGTGGCCCTCAAGGGAGCTCCACCAAAGGCCCTAGTGGCTGTGAGCACAGGCGTCCGCGCCGCCCAGTACAGCGCTGCGTGGCCACATGGGGAGCTCCACCGAAGGCCCCAACGGCTGTGATCACTTGCGCCTCCCTGACCCATGCCGGCACGCTCCACGCGCGTTTCGGGGCCTGCCCCTGGGGAGCTGCACCGCCGAAAGCCTCGCGGCGGGAGCTCCCTCTCCTTCGTTTCACTTGCCTTGCGGTACGGACAATTGCGTATGGTTGGGTCCTTCGCCAAGACAACCCATTTCTCCTCGTCGTCAGCCTCCTCGACCGAATAAGTGCAAAACTGCCGCGGCCCGCGGCTGGAACCGACGCCCAAAATGTCAGGTTGTCTCCCACCGCGGAGCCGTGAGACACGAGTTCGGTTCCCCCTGTCGGGCGCACGCACATACCCGCGAAAAATACCGAAGGAACACCAGCACACGAGGAAGCGAGGCTCAAGACCGAAACAAGGGAAGGGATAGTGGTGCAAGATCGCCTGCAGCTGGCGGCATGGGAGGTGGCAAGACGGCTCTGCGATTCTCTATACGGAGAACTGCTCGACTCGCCGTGCACTACGCCTTGGCCTCCGTCGCAGCGCCGTGCCTGCTCCACAGGGCTTCGACATGCGGGGGCGAGGCTATAGAGAAGAGAAGGAGCCAGGGGGCGGGAGTCGTGCGCAAGTGGCACACCCGTCGGCTCGCTCAATACTTCCCGTCGCTGAACATTCGAAAGTGCCCCCTGCTATCTGCGGATGCATGCCGATCTGCCCTCACAGCTCGCGCAGCAAAGCCAAGTGCCAACTCGTTACAGTAGATGGCCATAATGGGAAGGCAGCGGAGGCGCAATGCCGCGCGGAGAAGAGAGGAGAGAATGGGCAGACTTGTGACGATTCCTGGGGGGCATCTAGGGCCGTATTGGTGCTCTCTTGGAGTGCCTCTTGGGCCGTCGAGGGCCCTTTGGGGGCCGTCTTGGGGCCCTCTTAGGAGGGCAGCTGGGGCCCCCTCTGGAGCGGAGGCGCACAGGGAGGGACGAGGAGGAGGATGATGCAGAAAGGGAAGGAAAACGATAGCTCCCACTCAGGATGTGGGAAAAATCTGTGCTCGCCTGCAGGGCGGCGTATTGCGGTCGCTGTTATTTGCGCCGCGGAGCGGAACACGCATTCTGCGAGGCAGCACCAGGCAGAAGGACAAGTACGGGCCAGTTGGAGGGCGGAGCGGGAACCTAAGGAAAATGGGGGATGGATACAGAAAGGAATATTCGAGCAGAGCTGGATGACGGGACAAAAGAACGAAGGCAATGCGGCAACACGGATCGCTCCGCCAAACCCAAATGGAATGACTGCGAGCTCGCGCTTGGACAACACAATAGTCCAGCTTGGGAACTGCCGGCTACTTTGGCACACAGTCTCGAGCCTCTCAAATCAAAACTAGAAGCATTGCCGAGGTTTGAAAGCGAGAGAAGCACAAGGACAGGGAGAGGGGGAGGCAGAGGGAGGCGGGCGAGCAGCGTGGACGCCGCCGTGGCCGCCAGATCGGTACATCAGCCACGCCGCTCCGCCCCGCCCGCGGCTGCCCCGCACACCCGCAGGGTGCTCAGATGGACTCGTCGCGATCGCCGCCACCTCCATCGTCAGACGAAGCAGGATAACCACCATCGCCTGGGTGCTCCATGTCCCAATTGTAGTTGTCGACCGAGCGTCGCCACATGGCGTACGTGACGATTATCAGCACGCACATCAAGGCACCCACAATCACGTACAGGAAGCCGAGATAAGCCATGCCACCCACTCCCTCGTAGCACGCGCCCCAAATGATGCTCTGGTAGAACTCCCCCAAGAAGTTACACCCCATACCATCCAGAATCTCTGTGACCTCGCTGACAACATTGTCGTCGATCAGCTCACGCAGCCCCACGTCGATCTCGGCTGTCATGGTGGCCGTGGTGTCGTCGAGGGTTGTGAAGGCAACTTTAATTCTCTCGTTAAATTCCGCAAGGTACGTCTCGAACTGAGTTAAAGTGCAATTTTTTGGGAGCCTCGAATAAGTATTATCGGAACCCATGCACGTTACATAATCAGCTGCTACCCCATCTACGCGCTGGGTCCAGACTGGGCACTCAGTGCCAGAGGCGTCTTGGAACACGTCGCACCTGAACTCGACGTCGTTTCTGAGGTCCTCCTTCGTCTGAATGACGAAAGATGACGCTTTGCAATTGGCTTCAGAGAAGCAAGGGGGCAATGCTGATGAACTGCAAGGCATGGTCACGGTCAAGTCATAGTCTGACTCTGTAAGGGCCGAAGGGCCTGAGAAGTACGCGTCCATGCCCAAGATAGGCACATCATCGAAGGTTGTTGAGTTTGAGCAGGCCAACGAGGTGATCATCGTAACGTCCTCCCCAGTTATCCCGTCAGCCGCAATAAGGGCATTCATCGAGTCACCATCTGTCACGATGAATTCTGAAATGGATGCCCCGTACACGCTCAGAAGCTCCCGCAGGCCCGTCACTCCCGTATTGTTGGCCAGCGCCGTATTCGCGCTCGACAACTTGGTTTGAAGCTCGGCAAATGGCGCGTCGATCGCTTCCTTCAGATCGGCCTCGATCAACTGCCTCATCGTCTGGGTGGAGCCTGCCGAGGTGGTCAGGAGGACGTCCGCGAAGTTTGCCGACACAGAGACGTCTGACGGGTTCAGGCACTGGTCCACGATGTTCTTCACCATGGTGAGGGAGTCCCCGGTGAGATCGAGCTCCAGCGCGTCCGAGGAGCCATCGATGACGTCCCCGTTGAAGCCGTCGAGGGTCAGGCACGTGACGCCCAGGGGCACGCCGAGGGTCTGCAGGAACCCGCCGGCCAGGAAGCACAGCGCGGCCACGAAGAAGCCGCAGCACCAGCTGCAGCAGGCGCACCTGTGCGGCAGCGCCTGCGTCTGCCCGTCCGCGCCGCTCTCCCGCAGCGAGAAGGCGAGGCACCCCAGACCGCCACAGATCACGGCGAGCAGCCCATACGCGGGGAGGATGTACATGCTTAGCCTGCCTTCCGTCACGCTCGACTCCACCATGTCCCAGTTCTCCCCGTCAACCAGCGGGTCCAAGGCGTCCAGAAGCAGCTCGTTGACTTCGGAGAGCGGCTCAACGGAGTCATCGAGCAGCCTCCGCAAATCCTCGCGCTTATCGGCGTCCAGCGCCGCCTTCGCTTCCGCGCGCGCGTTGGTGAGCGCCGAGGCCAAGGAGTCTGCCATGGTGTCAAGCACATCGGTCAGCTCGCCGCTGAGAGTATCGCAAAGTAGACACGTATGCCCCTTTGGCATGCGATTTGCGCTTTCGCTCATCATGTCCTTCAGCAGCTCCAACGTCTCTGTCGCAAACGAAAAGGCCTGGTCGATCTCCACCGTATTATCGATGAGTTGATTGAAATCGGTCACGAAATCGCTGCCATCGTCGAGGATGTCGCTCAGACTGGTGAATCTATTGGTCAGCGGGGTCATACCAATGAAATTAGGCGACGTTTGACCTTCGACGAGGGCCTTCGACATCTTCGCGGCGGTGCATCCGAGACGCTGGCTGCCATTACTGATGTCTTCATACGTGGCGACAGAAAAGATCCAACATACAACCAGGCCAGCTCCGATGCCAAGAATCAAGATGGTGCCGATCAGCTTGCAAACGATATCCGTCGACTTCTTCTGCTCTTTCGCCCTGCACACCCGGCAGCACTTGCAGCACGGGCAGCAGGTGTAGCAGCAGCACCACCAGGTCAATAGCAAGAGAATGAACAAGACCAGACCGACCGCCTTCGGCGCGACATCTGTGGCGCCATCGCCCTGCATATACTCAATCGTTTTCGTCCAGATGTCCTCCGAATCATCCGCCTTGTACAAGACTTCAGTCAAGAACCAATTATCTCCCCCGGCAGCACTGTCCAATGCTGCTCTTGACGGCTCAGTGCTGACTACGTCCGGACAACGATCCGCGATTGCGATGTCGTACTTGTTCGGGGTGGCCGCACAGGACGTGAGCATAAGAGCCCATGCCAGCGCCCACGAGCCCTGGACGGACATCATTGCCCGCCTTCCTGCTGGTCTGGTGAGCGCGCTGGTACCTCGGCGTTTGGCGCTCGAACGACTCGAGACAAAATGGCTACGGGAAAGATGCTCGCCTTTGGGGGGCCATCCTGAAGGCCTCTTAGAGTGTCTTGGGGGCCTCTTGGGCCGTCTTGGGAGCCTCGTGGGCCGTCTTGAGGCAATCTTGCGTTGTCTTGGGGCTCTCCTGGACCACTTCTCTGATCGCTTGGGTTCTGCTGGGCAAGCTGGGCAAGGCCTGGCAAGGCGCCCTGCGAGGCGCGGCAGGGCTTGAGCACAGCTTCGAAGGGCGCTCAGGGGGTCCCAAAGCCCCGACTCGAGGGGGTCCAGTTTTTGTTGTTGGGGGGGGGGCCGTTTTATCCCGGCTCCTCGGCTTGTAAAAATATAGGACGGGGAATATAGATGGGTCTTCGGACCATCCTGCTACGGTGCCAGGGCTGTGTGTCGGAGGCCTCTGGGGTGTTCGTTGGCACTCCGTTGGGAGCCTCTTGGGGGCTGTTTGGGGGCTTCTCGTGGCCTCTTTCGGGCCTCTTGGGGGCCTCTTGGCGGCCTCGTAGCGCCTCTTCGGGGCCTCTTGGGGCCTCCTGGGGCCTGCAGGGGTGTAGGCTGGAATTGTGGGTACGTGTTCCCCATTTTGGGCCTCTCTTGGGGCCGCTCTGGGGCCCTCTTGGGCCGTCTTGGGGTGCCTCTTGGGCCGTCCTGGGGCCCTCTCGAATCATCTTGGGGCTCCCAAGGAGGCCTCTGACGCCGTCTTGGGGAAATTTTGGCCTTTCGGGGCGCTCGTCGGGGCCCTCTTGGATCCTTCATGAGCCGTCTTGGGGGCCTCTTGGGCCGTTTAGAAAGCTTGTTGGGCCGTCTGATACCCCTGGAGGCCGTCTTCAGGGTAGCTCGGGGCAGTCTTGGGCCGTCGGGACGGCTGCCTGATCGCTCTGGGGGCTGTTTAGCGGCCCCCCATCAGCGGGCCCCGCCCGGAAGCGCACCGAAAAGAGTCGGGACCCCGCCGGGACTAAAAGGTGATCCAGGGGGGAATGGATGCAGTTCTGAAAAAGTGTGACAGTCCAGGGTCCAGGCCGCGTTGGAAGACTCTTGAAGTGGGTTGGGGCGCTCTTGGGGGCTTCTTGGGTAGTGTTTGGGCGATCTTGGAGGCCTCTTGGGCCACCTTGGAGAATCGGAAAGCGGTAAAGGCGAGAACTCCCAAATCCTTCAAAACATCCCTGAAAATATATGAAATTGGTTCTTCTGGGGGCCTCGTGGAAGCCTCTTGAATGCCTCGTCGGGGCCTCTTGGAGGCCTCTTCGGGCCTCTTAAGGGGTTTCCTTGGGGGCATCTCGGGGCTTCCTGGGGGCCTCTCGAGGCCGAGGGCTCGAAATGTCCGTTCGGGCCCCCCGTCTCAAGCCTCTTTGGGGCCCTCTCAGCAGGGCCGTTCTGGAGCTCCCTCGGGGCGTCGTGAGGCTCTCTCAGGAGCCTCTTGGGCAGTATTAGAACGTCCTTGGAGGCGTCTCGGGCCGCTTTGGAGCGCTGGGAAGCCGAAGCGGCGAGAAAACCAAAATCCGACCCAGAAGCCCTCGATCAATGGCCTCTTGGGAGGCCTCGTGGAAGTCTTTTGGAGCGTTTTGAAAGCCTCTGGGACGGTCTGGGGATTCTGGGCATTCTGGGGCCGCCATGGGCCGTGTCGGCGGTCCCGAAGCGAGTTTTTCAAGCGATCGGTCCGCCTTCGGGCGATCTTGGAAGGCCTCTGGCTCGCCGGCGGGGCCCTGGGCAGCGCGGTCCACACGCTTGTGGCCGGGGTCCTGGCCTGGGGCCCCCAGACCCGGCCCCTCGTTAGATGTAGATGAGTCGATGTACTGCGCGCGAACTCCACCGTATCTCAGCAGAGTCACGGGTGATCCTCTGGATGCCTCTTCCCGTCTCCCTCCCCCCGCTCCCGTTCCCCACTGGCACGTCAGGTCTCCTCCCGCATCGGCTGCGGTCAGGCCCACGCTGCAGCAAGGACGCACACTGTGGCCGATGTGGTGCCAACGACATTACGCTTCCCGAAGCTGGCTGTCGGGCCGGGTAAATTGTCGTAGCATCACACGTGAAAGCGTTACTGTAGTCGGCGCCGGAGTTGGCGCGTTAGTTGGAGGCATCGGCGTCGGTGCGGCCGTCGGCGCGGCCGTCGGCGCAGGCGTCGGCGCGGCCGTCGGCCCGGGCGTCGACGCGTAGGTCGGAGGCGCTGGCGTCGGCGCGTAAGTCGGAGGCGCTGGCGACGGCGCGGCCGTCGGCGCGGGCGTCGACGCGTAGGTCGGAGGCACCGGCGTCGGCGAGGCCGTCGGTGCGGCCGTCGGCGCAGGCGTCGCCGCGGCCGTCGGCGCGGGCTCGGACGTGGGAGCGCAGGTCAGAGGCATCGGCGTCGGCGAGGCCGTCTGCGCAGCCGTCGGCGCAGGCGTCGCCGCCGCCGTCAGCGCGGGCAACGGCGGAGAGACATCGGCACTGCCGTCGGCGCGGCCGTCGGCGCTGCCGCCGGTGCTCGCGTCACCAGCGCGGCCGTCGGCGCAATCGTCGGTGCGTAGGTCCGGGGCTCCAGCGTCGGTGCGTACGTCGGCGTCGCCGGCGTCGGTGCGGACGTTGGCACTGCCGTCGGTGCGTAGGTCCAGGGGATCGGCGTCGGTGCGTCGATCGGAGGCATCGGCGTCGGCGCGTCGGTCGGAGGCATCGGCGTCGGCGCGTCGGTCGGAGGCATCGGCGTCGGCGCGTCGGTCGGAAGAATGGGCGTCGGTGCAGAGGTCGGAGTGTTCGTCCTTACTGCGCCACATATTGTCTCGCTGCAGGCTGATTGATCCAAACCTGACAAGGCCACGACGATGGGCAGGTCCTTTTCACACGACGGGCGCACAATGATTGGGAATTCTAATCCGCCGACCGCGCTGCCAGAAAAAAACCGCGCACAGCTCGCGCTCGCACGGGAGAAGGGAATCGGGATATGCTGTGTTCGCTGTCTGGCGTTGCTCTGAAATCTCACGAGAGACTAAGCAGGCCATCCCGAGCAGCAATTGGCCGCGGCGGGCATACGGATGACACGCAGAGAACCAGAGGCGAACTGAAGAGAAACGCACAATTCTTTGAGTCGGCGGCGCAGAGGAGCCTCGGGCGCGGTCGAATGGTGGAGGTGCCAACTGCGAACGAAATTAATCGATTGCGCCATGATGAAAGAATTCAGTCACGGCCATGCTGTTTGGTGGTGGGAACAACAGCAGGCGCTGCAAAGCCAAAGTGCAGCGGCAAAAGAAGCCGCGGAACAAAAACTCGACGCGGGAAGTTCGAAGCGCAAACAGCAGTCTGGTGCGAATAAGCCTAAGAAGGCAACAAACAAGGACTACAAAGCTGCCCGACTAGCCAACTCGGTGGCGGCGCATACGCGCAGGGCAACTGGGCAACAAAGAAACGCCACCGATCTTGCAGCGGACAAGAACCATTGAAGGCGACCGCGCAACAAATGCAAGAAGTCGGCGTGACGACAATGATCACACGGCGAGGCTGGCATAGCCGTGGACAACAAAAACACAAGCGAACGCGGGCGACTGCGAGCAGCAACCGCCAGAAGCGGCGGCGCACATGGGCGGCGAACATGCGCGAACATGGCCAACACGCAGTGCAGACGCCAGCGTTAAAGCAGAAGCCCCAAACGCAACCAAAGCCGCAAAGAGCTACCATAAAGGCAACTCGAAGCAGAAGCAAAGCAAAACATCAGAGACCACCTAACACAAGAGGGACTGCACGCGTCAAAGACAAAAAAGGCGACGAGCAAGGCGAACCCGCCCACGGGACACGGGCCCGCTCGGACTGAGACAGACCCCCGCCGCCTGGACGACCTGGAAGAAGAGGAAGGAAAGGGGGCAAGACGCTCCGGAGAAGAGAGAAGAAGAGAAGACGCCCCCGAAAGCAGCAAAAGCAAAAGCAAGAGAGGAGCCTGGAGAGACCACGACGGAACACCCCGCGACACGGCCGACCCGCGCTAGACCGACGACGGCGAAGCGAGCGACCCCCGCGACCCAAAGGGGGGAAAGGACCGACGAACCACCGCGGAGAACGTCGCCGGCAAGGCAAGCTGACATAACAGACGGCTGAAAAGCCAGCGAAGAGAAGTGGACGCGCAGACACTGCGAGGCAAATCGACAGCCACTGAGAATCTCTGTTCCCTTCGGCCTCTTAGTAAATGGCTCAAACGCAAGCGCTTCGGCCACTGCCCAGCCGCTCTGCGCACCTTCTGCGCCACCGCGGTCGCCCCCTCACTCGCGGCGCACATCGTTCCGAGCCGCATCAGCTCCAACACGGACCCCATACTCGCCGCGCGCTTTGCTGCCCCATCCGCCAGCATGGCCGGATGATCCACCCAGCAAACGCGTTGCGTTGATGGCCTGGCGAATGATCTGGATCTGCGTCGAGCACTTTCGGTCGCGCCCTCCAGTAGCCCCCCTCTGCAGGAAGTCGCACGGCGACTTCCCGCCCGCGACGCTTTCGCAGAGTCAGCGCGCCGTTATCCCCAGTGCCTCGCCCATCAGGTGACAGTAGCCCCCCGAAGCTCGCGCTGCCTTTCCCGCCCGTCGAGCCTGAAACCAAAGAAGGCAAACACATGGCACGGCGCGACCATCCACCCGAGCTCGGCAACTCCAGCATTCGGAGAAAGCGTCTCCGCAAAGTAGAATTCACCGCGCAATTCATCCATAAGCTCCTCCACGCCGATAACATTGCCGGTTGTCGTTCTCACTGGGAGACTCGACGCGCGGCAGCCAACACTGCACTTGCTCCTCGGGCCCCCCCGCCAATGCTGCTCCGCAAACTTGCACCAGACACAGATGCCCACATCAGCTCCTCGAGTGGAGTGGACCACGTAGCACTTCCCAAATCCGCTGCATCCTGCATGTGCTTCACCAGCTGGTTAATCTCCATGACGTCGCAGTAGGTCGGCTTTCTCCGAAACTGCTGAAGTAGTAATCTGCACA